ACACGACAAGGCTATTAGCGAACTTTAGTCTAGATACTGCATGTCTGTCAGGATGCGAAAGATTGATGTACTACAACTGAAGGGGAGGCATGATTGGCGAAGGCAGAGACATAGACTAACCGGACTAGGAGATGTGACATGGGTCCAGCGAGCCATGGATGAGACGAAGCTAGTCCTTCTGACATGTGACGATGACTGAGTGGCATGCGCGCGGGCTGAGACCAGAGGAGTAACTTCCCGCGTTTCTAGTTGCTTCCATCGTTCAAATTAATGTTCACGGTAGCATGGCGACTGGGCTTTGTGGGAACATGCCCTATGAAAATTGATGTACGGAATACATGAGCGAGAAAAATGGGTTCGCAGCAGCATAATGGTAACCCTTCGTCATTTGAGAGCGCGTGTAGATGACGCTAAAGGATAATGGTACTCAGGTGCACTCACGGAATGCGCCCGCGCCGATACCAAGACCCAGCAGCGAGTACGCAGTCAGAGATGAGAGGCAGCAGAAAAATAGCTCGTTCCGCTACAGTCAAGCATGGCTAGCTGCAGCAAAGAAAAATCGCGCGTTTCGCTACAGTCAAGCAAATGGCTAGCTGCAGCAGCGCGGGGGAATTCAGAAACATTTCATCCGGGCACAATTATCTTCCAGGCAAATCTGCGTGCACTTTTGAGCGGCGAAAGCAGGACGTCTTAGGCATTGAGTACCCATTTGCCTTGACATGGCAAGGACCGCGGTTGGCGTTTACCATACTCCAGTTTGATCCTTTCAGATTTTTATGACAGCAGTCTCGATGAAGTAGTAACGAGAGAAAATTGATCAACCATCCTCAGAGTTCTGACCAACAAAAGCCATATGTTCGGTGCTTGTTATATCTTTAGATTTGATGTTTTGTATTTGTTTTAGGAGGTAATGCAAGGAATGCTTCAATGTTCACGGTAATTGCCCATCACCCGCCAGCTTCACCTGTGTTTGTAGTATGCAGTGTGGTGTTGCCAGCATGATTACTTTCTTGCGAGTGTTGCCTCTTTCCATTGCCATCTTGTCTAATGCTACGCCAAACTGCTCATAGCCATGAGCGAATGTAAGGAAACTCAATCCTTGGGAACATACCCTCGTCATCCGGGCAGTTGATTAGGGCGGTCGTCAACGGGCCGCAGCGCGTGCCAGGAACTATTTGCTTTTTCCAGGCTAATTTAGTCATTTTTTCCACCTTGTGAAGATAAGGAGCTGCTAATCTGGGAAAAAGTAGCCAAAAAAGTTGGAAAAAATGACTAAATTAGCCTGGAAAAAGCAAATAGTTCCTGGCACGCGCTGCGGCCCGTTGACGACCGCCCTAATCAACTGCCCGGATGACGAGGGTACCTCGCCACAAATGCTACCGCTTACCCAATAGCTTTTTTGAGAGATCTGAATAAGATGGTTGACAGGGACAGAAAGGTGCTCGTACCGAAGGAAAGAAGTTTAGGAAAGGGGTGGCTCTATTCGACGAGAATTCTCCCTATGCCCAAGTCGTATCATTTTCGCAGCGTTTCCCACTTATTAGCTTGTCCAAGTTTGGGCGAAT